TTAGTTCTTTTTAAAGGAGCTGTATTTTAAAATGCTAAACCTATCTAGCTCTGGATCAACAATGTAGTTTAAGTCACTCATAACTACTATTTGTATTTAGTAAGTTCTTTTAATATATAGGTAATCTCATCACTTTTGATACATTACATTTGTATAATATAAGTTAAAAAAAATATTACTAATACTTTAATTAATTAATATCAAAATAAAACCTAACTTTTGAGAAAAATAATACTATAAAGTAGCATTAAAATTGTTTATATATCATAATTTGGTTATATGCTTTATATTACTAATTTGCAAATTTGCAAATAATAATTATAAAAATCTAAATATTTAATTTGCTATATAAAGGTTTTTTTTATTATTATAACTATATTTTGTATTCTAACAAAAATGTTCAATTTATCATAATATATAGTTAGTAAAAATTTTATAAAATTTAAAAAGCTTTTTACTAGTAGGTTTTATTGCTTGAAAGTTAACTATAAAAAAAACTTAAATATTTTTTAGAAAATATTCAATAATTAAAATTTATAAAATTGCAATATAAATATTATTTAAGTCATTAAGAAAAGTTGTTCTTTATATTCACAAATATTTATAGTTAAATTTTTATTAATATAATATAAAAAAGTGTTGCAAATATTCAAAATTAGCTAAATGAATTAATAAAAAAAACTAGTAAACATCTATTTAAATTATCTGCTTAAATACTTTAGAATATTTAAAAAAACTTTTTTATATTATATTATAAAAATTTAACTAAAAATATTTTCAAATAAAGAGAACAACTTTAATTAATGGTTTTTGTAAAATTAAAAATAAAGCTTTATCAATTTTATTCATTAAACTTTTTTTTAAAAATTAAAAACTGATTAAAAATTTTTTTATAGACACTTAAATCATAAAATGCATTAGTAACATAGTATTTAAATTTTACAAAAATTTTATTATAAGTATAAAATATTTTAATAAACATTATTTATTAATAGAACAAAAAGAATTTATATAATAAAGAAAATCTTTTATATATAATAAATCACTATTATTATAATTAAAGTTTTAATTATCTAAATCCAAAATATCTAAACTTTTAATTAAACCTTCAACTTCTTTATTATCACCATTTAAACTCTTATTTTTATTGTCATTTTCATTACTAAATCCAACCTCAACCATCTCCCAATAATTTCTTGCTCTTTTTAAACATTTCATTAAGCATAAAACAACAATATTGGAATTGATTTCTTTCTAAAAAGAACAAAGTAAAGCATTACAGAGAGAAAGAATATCTGGTAATACTGGCTTGCTGGCAATTTTATTTTTTACTACTTCTTATACCATTTCAATATGTTGTAATTTGCAATAGTATGGGGAAGTAAAAAGTACTTTGTAACCAAATTTTTGTGCAAAAACAACAGAAACAAAAGAAATGTTTTTTTTTTTTTATTATTTTATACAATTCAATTTTTGTTATTTGTTATCAAATTCAGCATTTTTGGCTTGTAGTCATTTATCATTGCAGATTTGTTCCAATTAGAAGTTGGTATAACTTTATTGCAACACTTGTGGTACTATGCATTATTCATAAAGATGATGCAAGACTATAATCAGAAATGAGATCTTCATACAACTTATCAAAAATTTTTTCAAATAATTGTGCATTAAAATTACCATATAATCAATTTTATCATGAATTATGCCAACTGCTTTTACAGTATCAGGAACTATCTTCCTTACTTTCTAATTTTTTTTATTTTTTTACATTTCTATTACTGGTTTTACTGAAGGATCCCATATAAGAAGTAACTGACAAACCAACTTACTGTTTACTTTATTACTTTTTCTATTTCTATAAATAATAATTGCTTCAAAAATAATTAGTATAGGTCCTTTTCTTTTTCATAAACTACACCATCTATTGAAAGCCATATTAAACTTCAGTTGTAATACATATGATAGTAAGACTCATCTAAAAAAACTTTAAAAATAGTTGGTATATTATTTTTACCTTGTATATTTTTAAATCATCAGTAAAGATAGCAGGCCTAGTAAGCAATATTTTGTGAAGACTCATGAAGAATATTTTGACATTCTTCTTTACTATAATAATAGCCAAGTTTATCTAAGTGACATGCAAGTTATGCTTTTGAAATCAAGAAATCTAATTCAGATAATTCTGTGACTATTGTTTGTAAATTAAGTAGAAGGCCATTTTGATTTGCAGAAAAATTAAGGTTGTGAATAGCATTTATATAATCTGCTTGAAAATTTTGAGGAGATTGTTGATCTGTTTTAATAATGTAAGTTTTCCAGTATTATTATATTCAGCAAGAACATGAGCAACAGTTGCTTTCCCTACTCCTGTTGCTAATGAAACTTCTTTATAAAGGTTAGTAGTTTGATGAGACTGTTGTTAAATCTATTCATATTTTTTTGAATATAATTATAAACAAATATGATTATAACTTTCTTATTAATAGTTAAAGTGCTAAGATTGTGGTTTGTCATAATAAATTTTACAACTCTTGTAAATAAGGTAAATATGTATATATATGCAGTATATGAATTTATAATACTAATAATGCCATATTTAATATTTACTGATAATATTCTTTCTAAAGTTAGTCTGCACTTCTAATTATATAATACTCATAATAATATATTAATTATTTACCAATGGATATACATATTTTACCCCCCTGTACAAAAAATTAATTGATCATCGTCGCTATCATATGTTATCACATGTAAATGTAGTAGCACAATCTAACCTTTATGCACAATCCAACCTTTACTTGTGTAGTAGCACAATCCAACTTTTACTTAATCATTATCATTATCTTTTTTCTAACGCTTCTTTCGCTTGTATTGAAGCCAATGAAAATGCTCTAACTACCGGTAATGACAAATCTAAACTAACGCCCACTCTATAAATACAAGACCAACTTGATACTAAAGACCAGCTCAAAGTTAAGGTATTATTAAAAGCTATGCGGCATATATATATCATTGAAATTTTAAACAAAAAAAAATCTAACTGTGATTTAAAAAATGCGCTTGAAAGACCAACACAAAAACTAAAGCCCAACCCGAAACTAAAGCCCAACCCAATACTAAAGACCCAACCCAATTCTAAGATGCTATGCAGCATATATATATTTCATTGAAATTTTAATCAAAAAAAAAAAAATCTAATTGTGATTTAAAAAATGCGCTTGAAAAACCAACACAAACTAAAGCCCAACCCAAAGCTAAAGCCTAACTCGAAGCTAAAGCCCAACCCAAAGCTAAAGCCCAACCCAATACTAAGATGTTATCAAATGCTATGCGGCATATATATATCGTTGAAATTTTAATCAAAAAAAAATCTAACTGTGATTTAAAAAATGCGCTTGAAAGACCAACACAAACTAAAGCCCAACCCGAAGCTAAAGCCCAACCTGAAGCTAAAGCCCAACTCGAAGCTAAAGCCCAACCTAATACTAAGATATTATTGAATGCTATGCAGCATATATACAGTATTGTTGAAATTTTAATCAAAAAAAAAAATCTAACTGTGATTTAAAAAATGCGCTTAAAAGACCAACACAAACTAAAGCCCAACTCGAAGCTAAAGCCCAACTCGAAGCTAAAGCCCAACCCAATACTAAGGTATTATTGAATGCTATGTGGCATATATATATCATTGAAATTTTAACCAAAAAAAAATCTAACTGTGATTTAAAAAATACATTTGAAAAACCAACACAAAAACTGAAGCCCAACCTGAAGCTAAAGCCCAACCCAATACTAAAGACCCAACCCAATATTAAGGTATTATTGAATGCTATGCGGCATATATATATCGTTGAAATTTTAACCAAAAAAAAAAACTAACTGTGATTTAAACAATGTGCTTGAAAGACCAACACAAAAACTAAAGCCCAACCTGATGCTAAAGCCCAACCCAATACTAAAGACCCAATCCAATTCTAAGGTATTATTGAAGGTTATGCTGTATATATATATTGTTAAAATTTTAATCAAAAAAAAAATAAAAATCTAACTGTGATTTAAAAAATGCGTTTGAAAGACTAACACAAACTAAAGCCCAACTTGAAGCTAAAGCCCAACCCAATAGAAGCTAAAGCCCAACCCAATACTAAGGTATTATTGAATGCTATGCAGTATATATATATCAGTAAAATTTTAACTAAAAAAAAAATCTAACTGTGATTTAAAAAATGTGCTTGAAAGACCAACACAAAAACTAAAGCCCAACCTGAAGCTAAAGCCCAACCCAATACTAAAGACCCAACCCAATACTAAGGTATTATTGAATACTATGTGGTATATATATATATCGTTGAAATTTTAACCAAAAAAAAAAAAAAATCTAACTGTGATTTATAAAATGTACTTAAAAGACCAACACAAACTAAAGCCCAACCCAATACTAAGATATTATTGAATGCTATGCAGTATATATATATCATTGAAATTTTAACCAAAAAAAAAATCTAACTGTAATTTAAAAAATGCGCTTGAAAGACCAACACAAACTAAAGCCCAACCCAAAGCTAAAGCCCAACCCAATACTAAGGTATTATTGAATGCTATGTGGCATATATATATCATTGAAATTTTAACCAAAAAAAAAAAATCTAACTGTGATTTAAAAAATATGCTTGAAAGATCAATACAAACTAAAGCCCAACTCAAAGCTGAAGCCCAACCCAATAGAAGCTAAAGCCCAACCCAATACTAAGGTATTATTGAATGCTATGTGGCATATATATATCGTTGAAATTTTAATCAAAAAAAAAAAAAATCTAACTGTGATTTAAAAAATATGCTTGAAAGACCAACACAAAAACTAAAGCCCAACCCGAAGCTAAAGCCCAACCCAATAGAAGCTAAAGCCCAACCTAATACTAAGGTATTATTGAATGCTATATGGCATATATATATCGTTGAAATTTTAACCAAAAAAAAAAAAAAAAAAATTTAGAACAATGTGTTTGCAAGACCAACCCGAAACTAGTGACCAACCCAAAAATAATGACCAACCCAAAAATAATGACCAACCCAAAACTAGTGACCAACCTGAAACTAGTGACCAACCCGAAACTAGTGACCAACCCGAAACTAGTGATCAACCCGAAACTAGTGACCAACCTGAATGTTTATTACTATACCAAAGTATTTATGAAGAATCGTATGATGATTTATATGAAGATAGTTGTGAATATTATGAGCCAGAAGATAGTTGTGGAGAGGATGAGCCAGAAGATAGCATATTGAGAGAAATTTATAGTGGGCAAACATTTGTGTCATTTGAAGTACTTGAACAATGTTTAAAGTGATATGCCATCCGAATAGGCTTTGAAATAAGAACAGTAAGAGTGGAAAAGGGCGAGAGTAATTGGGCAAGGAAGACGTATAAGTGCCATCATAGTGGAAAATATGTACCAAAAAAAAGGTTGGATCCTACACAAAATAGAGACTGAGAATCAGTCTGTATTGATTGTGGGTTTACAGTAAATGCTTCATATCGTAAATCTGAGAACCTAGTATTTGTTAACAAATTTGTTAATGAACATAACCATCCATTACAAAACCGGGATTCTCTTCAAGAATTCTCACCAGCATTACGTAGAATACCAGATGATATAATGAATGAAATCAAATTTTATGTACAAGAGTGTCAATTAGGAGCTACTGTTTTAAAAAAGATATTAAAAAAAAAGTATCCAGATCAGAACATTTACCGCCAAGATCTTTATAATGCGATACATAAATTTAAAGCTGGTTCTCAAGTTAAACATGACGCTGTGACACTTCTAGAACATTTAATTAAATTACATTCAGAGGATCCTGAATATTATTTCAAAGTTGAATTTGAGGGTATTGATAATAGACTATCCAAAATTTTTTGGATGTCACCTGAGCAGAAGCAAATGTGGATTTGATATTATGATGTTGTTATAAATGATAACACCTGTAAAACCAACAAATATTTAATGCCCTTAAATATTTTTGTAATAATTGATTCAGATTATAGAAGTCGAATCATAGCAATGGCAGTGGTTTGTGATGAAACTGTATCAACTTATGAATGGGTTCTAGAACAAACTAAGCATGCAATAGGGAATCTTCAACCAAAAACACTTTTTACTGATGCAGATCCAGCGATGCAGGTTGCGATAAGCAACCAGTATCCTAGGACAATTGTGAGACATTGTGCTTTTCATATTTGACAAAATTTAATAAAGAAAGTTAAACCAAAACTTCAAAGTAAATGGGATATTTTCATTAATGATTTCTATGTTATGCGCAATTCACTTACCAGTACAGCTTTTGAACGCTGTTGGACAAATTTAATTAATAAATACCCAGAAGTTCAAAAATATTTTGAATGTGTATTGTATCTGACCAAAACATGCTGGGCTTATGCATTTACCAAATGTAGCTTTTCAGCCAATACACATTCAACCCAACGCGTAGAGAGTTTGAATAGGATTATAAAATTAGAGGCAAATTCGGGAAATTCATTATGCCAACTCCAGTTCGGAGTTGAATTAAGACTAAAAGATGAAGCCAAATATTCACGATGGCAAGAATTTTGGAATATGAACCCTACTACTGGAATCCCCCGGGTCTCTAATACTATTTTTAATTCGATAGATGAAATATTAAAAAAATATCTTACACCAAATTCGCTGGTGCTGCAATAGAAGCAAATGATGGAAAGCCTGTTGTATAGAGTTTGGATAAATGAACTTAAGGATATTAGTATAACAATGCAGAATTCAGATCAGTATAACGAAGAGTTTCTCGAGAATGATTATGAAGAACCTCAAATTTTAATTAACATGGCTTTGGAGGATTGTTTAGAGGGTGTTTTGAGTGAAATATGGGAGGTTAAGCATCTTTAAACTATTACAAATAAATCTCAGTATGTGGTCATATTCAATGATGGTACACATTACTGCACTTGTCTTTATTAGTTTATGCGGGATTTGTTTGTAGGCATTTTTTTGCCATGATGCTTCAATCAAAAAAAGCACAGTTTAATATTAAACTTGTGCCCTCCAGATGGTATTCGAAAGAAGGACTTTTGTTAAGAGAAGAAGTTCAAGAAAAATCAATTACACTAATTCAAGTTGAATCTGAATTTCAAACTGGCACGTTTAAAACATTAAATAATATTCATGGGCAAGAGATATTCGATCAATCTTTTATAAATTTAGATTCAAAAAAAGAAATATATGGCCGTGGTATTGGGCTATGCAAAAAGGCTTTAAATTTGGCGATCTTAAACAATTCTAGTGAAGCTTTTGAAGAGCTTTTACAACAATTTATTAAAAAGCAAAGTAAAATGTCTACAGAATTTTCCAAAGATTCTAATAACATTAATAATATCACAGATCTGATTCAGCACAAAGGGAAAGGCCGACCTACAAATAAAAGATACTTGTCAGCTATTGAAAATCAACCTTCAAAAGAAAAGAAGAAAAATAAAAGACAATATGCTAAGTGTAAGTCTTGGTATCATGATTCAAGAAATTGTCCTGAAAAAAGTGATCAGCATGATAAAGAAAATAATTAGAAGTGGGTAGGTAGGGTTTTGCAAGTGCTAGGACGGTACTAAATTTAAAACATAGTGCCTGGTATAAGTATTATGTTTTAATATAGTACTGTCCTGGCACTTAGCAAAACTCTAGTTTAGACTCTTTGGAGTTGATTTATCTTATTTAGTAATTGGCTTGTTAAAAAAAAATGCATGTATATAACTGATTTGAAAATCATATAATGTATTATCTTAATGATTTATATATTTGTAGATTTTAATTTAGGTTAGCATTTTGTATAGTTAAGTATTAGAGAAATTGACATTCTAATATTTTTATTTGTTTAACCTAATTTTTTGTTTGTTTTTCCTTCTCTGAGTTTTTTTTACTTTATTTCTAG